GGTGGCGCCCAGCGCGGGGCACGAAAAAGAACGAAGGAACCGCTGAAGGACCAGCTGTGGTGAGCCGGCAAGTAAAGTAAAGTAAAGTAAGGTAGCTGGGATCATGGGCAGTTCAATGTCCAAGGGGCGGTTAGTTATTTCCCTGGAAGCTCTCCTAAAATAGTTTGGGGTTCCTCTTAGTAAGAAAAATTCTTAAAAGATTTGTAGAGACCCTTAGTATCACTAGTAAGTGGTTTCTGGAGCAGGATCAGGTCGCTAGTGCCATTTGGAATAAGGCAAGATGGAGGAGAAGCCGACATTCAATTAACAAAGGTCATTCAAGGGTCGACAGAACCATATGCGGAGTTCCTAGCAAGACTGATGACTGCAGCTGGCCGAATTCTAGGTAACACTGAGGCTTCTCTACCGATAGTTAAACAGCTTGCATTTTGAAAATGCTAATAAGTGGTGGTAGGAAGCTATCAGACCCTGGAAAGCTGGGGCTAGTTTGTACGGTTATGTGAGACTTTGTTAGGATATTTGTGTATGTAATAACCGTTCATGTCTGGACTGGTGCCTTTTTGCCCTGGTGGGCCAGGGTGAGGTGAAGTTATATAATGGCACTTATTCTGCAAACAGTACCTTTGAACAATCCGTTAGTGTCCAGAATAATGGGTCGGAGAGTTTGTCTGCTGCTGTCTGTCTGTCCCCTCCCTTCTTTTTTGTCCTCCCCAATAATGCAGGAGATGCCACCGTGTTGAGCTGTTCAGCAGAGACCTGCGCCCTCTCTGCCTCCTGGGCCCGGAGTGCGGAGACAGCAGTGATCGTTCGTCTACCTTCTATTTTAGTCATGCCCGTGGATGTTTCTGCACACCTTTCCCCTGTTTTACCTAGGAGGAGACGTGATTTTAGCATCACTGCAGCTATTGTTGCCGTTTCAATAGCGGTGGCCGCGGCTGCGGCTGCTGCCGCCATTGCTATCACTCAAGCTGCTGTAAATACGGACACTATGGACAATTTAGCTGCCGGTGTTGCTTCTGCGTTGTCAACACAGTAATATATGAATGGACATTTGCAGAATGGACTTTTTATGCTTGGTCAGCAGTTAGCTAATGTAAAAAGGGATAGACACAATTTTGTTAATTGCTCACATACCTTGTAACCCTGTACAGTTTTATTTGCGTTACCCCTGTTACGGGTGAGGGTCTCATTGCCTAGTTTAGAGGACTCCTCTCAGAGTTGTAAGCTTGGGGCAGGGTGGTAGCCTTAGCTCCTGACTGTTTGTGCTTTCAGTGTATGGTTTCTCCGTCGGCTACGGAGGCGAAACAAAGAGCTATTGTGCTATTGCGATCAGGCAAGTACTTGGCACCATGGTACTTGACCAGGACTCCCCAGTGGCACCTGGATGGGTCACCTTAGTCTTAGAGAACCTGTGAGCCAAAGACGGGTAAGGGCGTAGCCCGTCCAGACCAACCTAAGACAGCGGTCCGGACCAAGTGCGCCGGATTAGCGATGACGGTAAGGCTGGTTATGGGATATGCCAACCTAAGACAGGCCAGGTGTCTCATTTAAAAGAAAAAATGGGGAGATGTCCGGAGCCGTCCGGAGTATGTGCCATGTTGCATATGCGTGCCATGAGTTCGCTTTACCATTTCGCCTTTGGAGAACCACAGGTTTTTCCTGTAAAGCACATGAGACTGGGAGGTATGGGGGGAGGAGCTACGAGGGTATAAGAGGAGAACGTGGGAGAGAGAGGGGGAAGAAGAAAAGAGATTTAAGAGGAGAACCACGAGAGAGGAGAGTTACTGCGAGAGGAGCAGAGAGAAGGCCAGGGAAGTAAGAAAGTCAAGGAAAAGAAAGATATGTAAAAGTAGGAAAAGGAAAAAGGAAAAATAAAGAAGCAAACGCTAGCGTCAAGTTGTCAAGCCCCTCATTTCAATCCTCAGCCCTTCTCTTTCCGTGCCTCTGAATCCCGCAGGCCGGGACAGGCCTGTATCCCGGTTCTTGTATAAATAAATAAATAAATCTTTTAAAAAATAAAATAAAATAATAAAAATGAACAATGATGTAAAAAAAATTTAATATAAAAAAATAAATTTGGTAACTCACTGGGGAAAAAAGGAACAAAGAATATATACACTGAAAGTAGGACAGTCTCTTCAATAAACAGTGCTGGGGAAAATGGACCACTACATACAAAAGAATGAAATTGGAATACTACCTCACACCACACACAAACCCAACTCAAAATGGATAAAAGATCTGTAATCATACAATATATATATAAGAAAACACAGGCAAAACACTCCATGACATAAATCTCAAAACATCTTTAAAGACTCATCCTCCAAAGCAAAGAAAATGAAAGAAAAGATAAACAGCTGAGAATACATCAAACTAAAGAGCTCCTGCACAGTAAAAAAAATAATAACCATGATGAAGAAACATCCTACAGACTGGGAAAAAACATTTACATCCCACACAACTGATTAGGGGACTAATAACAAAGATCTGCAAAGAGCTTACACAACAAAACAAAGTAAAGAATCTAGTCAAAAAGCAGGCAGAAGTGCTAATCAGGAAAATGCAAATCAAAACCACAATGAGGTATCACCTCATACCAATAAGAATGTCCAACATTAAAAAAACTAACAACAAATGCTGGCAAGGATGTGGAGAAAAAGAAACCTTTTATATTGCTGGTAGAAGTTGAAACTGGTCCAACCACTATGGAAAGCTGTGTGGAGGACCTTCAAACTACTAAAAATGGATATAACCTATGATCCAGAAACTCCACTCTTAGCAATCTATCCAAAGGACACAAAAACATTAATTGAAAAGGAAACCTTCACTCCTATGTTCATTGCAGCACTATTTATAATAGCTAAGACATGGAAACAACTTAAATGTCCAAAAACATGACTGGATCAAGAAGATGTGATACACAAACACACACACACACACAATGGATACCATTCAGCAATCAAAAGAGAGAAACTCATGCCATTTGCAGCAATATTTATGGAGCTAGAAAGGATTATGCTCAGTGATATGTCAGAAAGAAATAGATCAGATAGTTTCACTTATAGGAGGCATGTAGGGAATCCAAACAAGGGGTAGTGAAAAAAAAAGACAAAACTAGCAGGTAAACTCTAAATTGGAGACATATAGCTGGAGAGGGGCAGGGAGAGGGATCAAAACAGGGCAGGAAAGAGCATAAGACTATGGTTGTGATTCACAGGTGACTTGGTAGGTGGGAATTTTAATGGGAATAACACCTGAGAGGAGAAATCACTGTACAAAAAGAACAATGATGTAAAATATACATATATAATAAAAAAATTTTAAGAACAAAGAAGTAAAATATATATTTAATAAAATTTTTTTTAATGAAGTCAAGAAAGAATAAAAAGGGGCCTCCCTGGTGGCGCAAGGGGTTAAGACACAGCACTATGAAGCTATCCACAGCCACTGCAGCACAAGTTCGATCCCCAGCCTGAGAGCTGACCCACATGGTGCAGCAGACCTCTCCTGACTCACCAACTACTCCCCTCAGCAGTGTATTTCAGTCAATCCGCCTGTTCTGTTTCCCACTCTGTCTCTGGTGAATTCTATCCCCCTCCCACACTGCTGGCCTATACCCCACCTCTTGTATAAAAATAAATAAATATTTAAATAAATAAATAAATGATAATCAATCCCATTGCTACCCTCCAGTAAGACTCTCAGATCTGTGTCTCTATGAACTGCAACCAGACAGACCCAAGTCATGTCACTGGTTTTCCGCTAGCAGTCCAGTTCCCACAGCTGGTGGCTGGAAGGTTATGAGGGGCCCAGTCCCAGCTCACTAAGTTGATGGCTGGCATATGGCAATTGGTCTCTCCCCGCTAACAAGTGAGGACCAGGAGTGCCTCAGTTCTTATTCATGAAGCTGGCGGCTGGAGGCTATGCTCCTGCATCTGGTAACCAGAGACTAGAGGTTGACATGGCTTTCTCCACTGACAGTTGGAGGTCAGTGTGCTGCCCAGCCATCCCTCACATAGCTGGTAGTTGAATGCAGCAGGAGGCACTGGGGCCAGGGCAGACTAGTCCATGTTGTTGTTAGAGATCAATGAGCAGAGTCCTTCGGTCAGCACCTAGAAACTGTGTTCACAAGCTGACAGCCAGACCCTGGCCTCCCAGGGCAGCCAACAGCTGGAGTAGGACCTTCCTCCTAAAGATGTAACTCCCAGGGCACTCTGCAACCCTCCATCTCACCTTCAGTAGCTATTGGCCCTGCTGTACTGTGCTGGAGCCAAGAGTACAAGCAGATAGTGAACCTGCATCCTCATGCAGCCACTATCTTTTTCCAATTCTCAAATATATTTTAGTTTAAAAACCATTTAATTGAAAAACAAGTAAACATAAGACACACTGTCCCATCTGATTGGCCAAAATTTTAAAGTCATAACAATATTTGATAGTATTGGCAAACACAAAGAGCACATTCTGTTGATAGTTAAAAAAAAAAAAAAAAACTGGTAAAATCATTTTGCAGAATAAAGGGGAAACCTCCAGAAGTTGCACAAATCTGATGTGACCCAGCATCCTACTCCTGATACGCATTCTAAAGAAATTCCAACATGTTCTGCAGTCCTATTCATTCTTGTGACAAATGTGAATGACCAATGACAGGAAAACTTAACTATGGCAAATATACATGGAATTTGTATAGATAGTACAATCAATAAACCACAGTTTACATGTATTAATGTGAGTAAATCTCAAACATACAGAGAAAAAAGCAAACTAAAGAGGAATATATAGACTATGAAACAATAGTATATTGATTTATGGACACAATATAGTAAAAAGAATGAAAAACAAGGATAAGAATGCTATCTGGGTGGAAATTAACTGGAAGAGGTATATACACAGGAGCTTCAATTATATTTATGACATCTTATTTCTTAAATTGGACGCAAGTCCTCTATTCTTTATATCCCTGAACTATTTTATAAAAAGACCATGCACCTTCTTACCTTGTGTTGGCAAATGGTTTTTCTTGTTCTTTTCTGCCTGGGCTCCTGAAGAAATTTGATTCTTTTGAAATCGAACTGATGAATTCTATAGTATAATTTTGAAAATAAAATAAGTGTTAGTCTACATACTACTACAATTAATGAAGCTAACAGAACTCAATCTGTAATGACAATAGTTGTTCTACACTGATATATTTATTTATATGTCAGAATTAATAACCTATTATCTAAGAATAAACTACACACACTCATCCCTTTGGAAATATATTCTTCTTCAAGTGAGGGCACAACAGAAAATAGTCTCTGTGACTGTCATCATCAGTCTGAGGGGCAAGAACTCTTATCAAAGGTCTTCATCTTAACCTCTTCTATGAACACCTGCCTCAAAGTCTTCCTCTACCACTCTGAGTCGAAGCTTACCACTGCTCACCAATGTCTCTTTTGAGAATGAAAGTCTATTCACCCTTGCCATGAAGGCTCAAACCCTGGTCTCCCTTACCAACCGACTCTGAGTCTCACTTCTGTGTTCACCCATCATCTACCCTCCTTGCCAAGAAATAATAGTCCAAATGCCTTAGCTTGTTTCTTGACCTCTTTACTCTCCCTCCAATTTGTACTCTAGCCTACCTACCTCAGCCATGCACTTCAGTGGGCAAACTCTAGAACTTGTCATTGATGAACCTGTCAAGTAGAACTTGACAAATGATACCTGCAATTATTGATATCTGTAAAAATTTCAATTTCAAAGCATTCAAACCCAGAATGTGGGGCATTCTACAAAATAGTTTGATTTCTTCAAAAAGCCAATGCCATTTAATAAAATGCAAAAGTATTTAGGAGTGTGATGCAATGACTTCTGCAATTACCATCAAATAATTCAGCAAAATACACATATACAAAGATGGCAAAATATTAACAGTGATTGAGTCTAGGTGGGTATCCAGGTGTTTCTCATACTATTCTTTCAAATTTCTCTTAAGGAAGATTTCACAACAAAATATTTGGAGAAGAGGGGAAAATTTCACTTTCTGACTACCGTGTTCTAGCCTTCCAAATTATTCCTCTAATACCCTAACTCCAACAATGCCTATAACCTGCAGGGTCCTTCAATTCATCAACCCATATATGTTTCCCATGTCCCTCAAAACCTTGTCATCATATGCTCTTCTTATGCAGATTAAACTCATGGTACATTGCAGTTACTCTTGTTATATATACTTCTGTGCCCCTCTCTCACCTTGTGGCTTTCACCTGGACTGACCACACTCCTTTTAAAAAAGTAACCTGCCACCCTACAACCAACATGTGAATAGGAGAAAAATTACAAACAATTCTTACTTGAAATACACAATTTCTAAGCGGGCCTCATGCAATCCAGGAATCAGACTATACTTTACTCCCTTTGCACTCCACTTTCAGTTGTCTGTTTCACACTTTCTCCCATCTCCTAAAACTCCTTCTCCACCTCACTCTCAGCTATTAACTGTGCTTCTCCGAGTTTAAGTATTAGACAGGTACTTCCTACCAGCTCCTCTACCACACCTCTCATCCTGGGTCCAAACCTCAGCCCTCTATGACTCAGCATAACTGTCCATGCTCCTGGCCCAGATGAGTCTCTCTGTTCATTCCCTAAATCTCATCTTCTCTTACTTAGGAACAGTGCTTCAGGAATACTACTGTATTTTCCTGTCTCAATATTTTCCTTCTACAGAATTAGTCCTACCAAAACATAAACACTTGTTCTAATCTTAAAAACAAAATACATTTACTGCAAAACTCCTCCACAAAGCTGTTAAACTCTGAACCTTCCCCTCATTCTCTCATGTCCCATCAGTCTTTTTTTTCTTTTAGATGGGAAGAGGGCCATGAAGAGACATGCCTCCAAACAAGACAATCAGATGGTCAACAGGCACATGAAAAAAATGTTAATCGTTTCTTATTATTAGGGAAATACAAATTAAAACCACAATGAACCACCTGTGGGAATGGCTATAAACCAAAAGAGAAGAAATAACAGTGTTAGAAATGCTGAGGAGGATGTGGAGAAAAAGGACCCTCTGTATACTGCTGGTAGGAATAGACTTGCCCAGATGCTATGGAAAGCTGTATAAAATTCCTCAAAATACTAAAAGTAGATCTACCATACCATCCACAATTCCACCTCTAGACCCAAGGAATGCAAAAACACTAATTTGAATATATGTACTTCTATGTTCATTGTAGCACTACTTTCAACAGCAAAATTATGGAAATAATCTAAGCGCCAATAAAAGGCACTCTTTTTAATCTACAGGCTCTAGCAACACGATCTCCTTTAGTTCTTGTTTCATTTTTTTCAGGGTGATGAACTTCCTGCCCATATCCAAGGGCAGAGTGTTACTCCAAGTTCTCTGACAGCAGTGTGGCCAAGAACTGCCCAATAAAAGGCACTTAGGTAGGCAAACAGGTAATTGGGATCTATATAAGGTGAAAGATCATATTGGATACTTAGCCATACACTTAACGTAGCTTACACCAATGTTGTTTTGCACACCTGAAACTTAAATAACTTTATAATAAAATTTACAACCTTAACCATTTTTTAAGTGTATAGTCCAGTGGTATTAAGTACATTTACACTGTCATACAACCATGACCACCATGCATCTCTACAACTCTTTTCATCTTGCAAAACAGAAACTCTATTAACCAGCAGTTCCTCATTATTCCCTCCCTAGAGCCCAAACAATCACACTTCTACGCTGTCTCTACAAATTTGACCGTTCAAATATTTAACAATTCCACCTGATGTGACAAAACCAACCAGACTGCAAACCTACCATGGACCCATCTTTTTTCATGGTAGTCACGCACTGACCCAACTTGGTGTTGCTCTCAGTTGCTTCTGCTTTCTTCCAGGCATCTAGCCGGAATCTTTCCATCATTTTAATTTCTTCTCGGAGGTCTGTGTTCTCTTTGACCAACATTTCTATCTGACTTCTAAGACGACCATGTGTACTTGACCATTTTGCTTCCTTTCTTTTCAAATCTTCCTGTAAGTCTGTTATCTGTTGTTTCAAAGCCTCTCAAAAAACAAACAAGGAAAATTACTAGAATGAAAACAGTGCAACAGAAGAGACAGAGCAACAAAACAGCTTAACATAGAATGCAGAAAAGAGAAGGTTTAGTCAATCATGTTTCAATAACATTAGGCTTTTCAGGAAAGGGAACAGGAGTTGAGACTAGACTATCCCACACCATTAACAGAATTCATTCCAGAAATAGGGAGAAAAAGGAGACTGAAACCACTTAGAAATAACACTTAGGCAATAACACTATAATAAAGATTTAAATAATATACTAATTGAAAGATAAATGAGGTCTATTTAGGTGAAGAAAATATTAATAGGAATTAGTAATTGAAATAAGAGTAGAGGTAAAGGGGAGAATAAAAGGTTCAAAATCAAAATTGCCTGCCCTGAAAATTGATTCATTTGTAATTCATGAGAAGAAATGGGTTTTTTAAGAAAATAAAATGGATGTTTTCAAATGGATTAAATGACACAATGAAAAAAATTCCTGCAAATGTCTAGAAGCAATTTCCAACTGTACATCAAGACTGATGTCAGATTGCTAGTGGGACTGCAAACTGGTCCAACCACTATGGAAAGCTGTCTGAAGGTTCCTCAACCCACTAAAAATGGAGCTACCATATGACCTGGCAATTCCACTACTAGGCATCTAACCAAAGGACACAAAAACATTAATTCAAAAGAACCCCTGTAGGGCCTCCCCGGTGGCGCAGTGGTTGAACGCTGGGTTGGGTAGCTGCCCGCAGCCTCTGCGGCGCCGGTTCGATTCCCGGCTGCTCCCCGGCCACCGGAGGAGGGTCCCACATGGCGCGCAGACCTCTCCTGCCGCCCGCTGCTCCCCTCAGCAGTGTCCTTCGGTCCTTCTGCCTGCTCTGCTCCCCACTCTGGCTCTGGTGAATTCTCTCACCCTCCCGCGCTTCTGACTGTACCCAGTGCTTGTATAAACAAAACAAACAAACAAATAAAGAAAGAAAGAAAGAAAGAAAACATGCCTCTATATAAAAACAAAAAAAGAACCCCTGTACACCTATGTTTACTGCAGCACTGTTGCTTTTTTTATTTTAAAGATTTATTTATTTATTTATACAAGCACTGGGTATAGTCAGAAGCGCAGGAGGGTGAGAGAATTCCCCAGAGCCAGAGCGGGGAATAGAATAGGCAGACCAACAAAATACACTGCTGAGGGGAGCAGCGGGCATGCAGCAGAGGTCTGCAGCACTATTTACAATAGGTAAAACCTGGAAACAACCCAAATGCCCCAAAATAGATGACTGGATCAAGAAAATGTGGTGTACCAAATGTCCAAAAATAGATGACTGGACCAAGAAGATGTGGTGTATATATATATATACACACAATGAAATATTATTCAGCAATCAAAAAAGATAAACTCATGCCATTCACCACAACGTGGATGGAACTAGAAGGAATTATGCTCAGTGAAATAAGCCAGAAGGAAAAAAGAAAAATATCGGATGGTTTCACTTACAGCAGGAATTGGGGAACCCAATAAGATACCAGTGTAAAAAAATAACAGTACAAAACACAACAAAGGAAAAACAGACAATTATAAATCAGAGACACACTGCAGGGGAGGAGGAGGGAGAGGGATCAGAGGGAGAGAGAGAGGGAGGAGCACAGGTGATGGTGCACAGATGCACTGGTGAAAGAAACTATAGGGACTACACCTGAGAGGGTGGGGGGGAGCAAATATTGTTTAAAAATAAACAATGATGTAAAAAAAATTTTAAAAAATGAAACAAGACTGATGTCAGAACTAAAGAGAGGTTACCACATATACAAAATATATTTGAAAGTTATGAAGAGTGACTGAAACCTAAGGAAAGGAGAAACACATCTAAGACTAAGAAAGAAAGCTAACCACATTATTAATATACATGTAAACTTAACATCATCTATTATCATGTAAGCCTCACAATAGTCAACCTTTGTTGGTCTAGGTAACAGAAGAAGAAAGTAGGGCTCAAAGGGTTTTTCTGTGAAGTAATATATCAGAGGGAGCAAGGACTCTGGATTTGGATGAAATCAAGGCTCAAATCCCAGTTCTAGACCTTGAAATCAAGGTCATTAACCCCCTGAACACAGTTTCTGTACTTGCAAAATTGTGGCGTAAAACCAAAGAGTGAGTAATTTCTAATATGTAAGCATTTGTATCATGCACACTCAATACTAAAATGGTAACAGAAATATCTAAATAGGTTAAGAAATCAACAACAAATAAGTCCGACCAAGACAGACAAATATTGTATAATACTGTAAAGTATCACTTATATGTGGAATCTTAGAAAGGAAAAATAAAGAGCTGACTTCACAGAAACAGAGAACAGTGGTGGCCAGGGGCTGGGGAAGAGGAAAAGGAGTGATGTAGGTCAAAGGGCACAAATTATTTTAAAAGGAACAGCAAGAGGCAACCTCCAAGCTAGTGAGTGGCATGCACAGGCAAAAAGATGAAAGAAGGTGGAGCATTCTCCACCTTCAACTCCAACCCCTCAGCAGGGGACTTAATGGGAAATAGAGGCAGGTTGGAGCTATTGGCAGTGAAGCTGCTGGGATTTGGCAGTTAGACTGTTGATGAGGAGGGTTATTGTCGAGAAGCCACCAGTTTGCCAAGAAGATCTGGACCTTTTTTTCTGTTCAGCAGACACTACCTGGGATAGGACAGATAGCATTTGCCATGTGCCAGCCTGTAAATTCTTTCTCTCTCTTCCCTTTTTCTCTCCAATCTCAATCTCTCAATCTCTCTCTCTCTCTCTCTCTCTCTCTCTCTCTCTCTCTCCCTCCCCCCCCCCACATTCCCCCACCTCTGTAAACACATCATATTATTGTTGTTTCATACTGTGTGTCTGCTCTTCAGTCATGTCTTACAGTCACTGGCACAACAGTAAGAAACCACCAACTAGATCAATCCAGTTCTCCTGGATTTCTCCTGTTTCACTTTTAGCTATAAATAGAATGTGTTCCAAGGATCTAATGTACATCATGGTGACTGTACTCAATAATAAGAATCAAGGCCTCCCTGGTGGCACAGTGGTTGAGCACTGGGTTGCGAAGCTGCCCGCAGCCTCTGCAGTGCCAGTTCGATCCCCAGCTGCCGGCGAGGGTCCCACATGGCACGCAGACCTCTCCTGCCGCCGGCTGCTCCCCTCAGCAGTGTACTTTGTCAGTCTGCCTGTTCTGCTGTTCCCTCTGGTTTTGGTGAATTCTCTCACCCTCCTGCGCTTCTGACTGTACCCAGTGCTTGTATAAATAAATCTTTACGAAAAAAAAAATCATAAATTTGAAAGTTGCTGAATGTAGTTTGTTTTTTTTTTATTTATTTATTTATACAAGCACTGGGTACAGTCAGAAGCACAGGAGAGTGAGAGAATTCACCAGGACCAGAGCGGGGAACGGAACAGGCAGACTGACGAAGTACACTGCTGAGGGGAGCAGCGGCATGTCAGGAGAGGTCTGCGCACCATGTGGGATCCTCGCCAGTGGCCAGGGATCGAACCGGTGCTGTAGAGGCTGCGGGCAGCTTCGCAGCCCAGCACTCAACCACTGAGCCACCAGGGGAGGCCCTGTATGTAGATCTTAACCTTTCTTAACACAGATACACACAGACATATATATATAAAGTGACAAATTGTTAATTCTGTTGATCTTGGTAATCATTCCTTATCAAACCATCACCGTGTACACTTTAAAGATACACAATTATATTTGTCAATTATTCCTCAATAAAGTTACAAAAATTCATTAGCAACTAATATTTATAAGGTATCTATCATCTATCAGGTACTATTATATGTCCTTGGAACACAAAGACTAAACAAAGATCTCAGGAAGCATATGTTAGAGATGACAGAGGCTATGGAAAAGGAGGCAGGGTGGGTGGGAGGAATTGATGTGGGAAGGGACGGCAAATGGAATATGAAATGTGGTGGGTCTCACAGAACTCTCACCTGAAGGAGGAAAAGAATGAGCCAGGGCTCTTTCCAGGGGAAGAGCAGAAGCACTAGCACACACCAGGAAAGAAGGTCATGCACAGTTTCAAGACAAAAAGGTCAGCAAGCTAGAGCAAAATGAGCAATGGAAAGGAGTAGGAGATGAGGTGAAAAGAGAACAGAACATCAAGGCATACGTGAACATGAGGCCACTGCAAGGTCGGGGTTCTCAGCCAAAGAAAAATGAGGTCTATAAGCAGGGCAGGGACATGACAGGACTTCCTTATACAGAAGGGTCACTGGCTGCCACATGGAAAAGAAACCAGAAGGACAAGGGTGAAAGCAAAGGCCATAAGGCTGACTAGTCCACTAACAGAGATGTCAACTCAAATCTTGTAGGACTTCTGATAGAATAGCACGAAGTATAAGAGAAAGATGAGACTGACGATGCTTCTGGCCTGAGCTCTTGGAAGCACAGGGCTGCCATCACCTGAGATGGAGACTATACCTAAAATGGGGATGGCTACAGGAGGAAGATCAGGCATTTAGTTGGAGGTACAATGCCTGGCAGCTAGCCCACACACCAGACCAGTGGCAAAGAACAAGCTAGGCCAGATTAAAGTTTGGAAGTCTACAGCATGTAAATCATAACTTTAAACTCAGCTAGATGAGATGATAAAAGGAGGACTGAATCTCCTACCTGTTGTGTGAAGCAAGAGAAGGCAACAGTCAGGTAAAAGAAAACCCACAGCACAGGTATCCTGAGAGTCACACAAGACAACAAGTGAAGAGGAGTCCTTGCCCTGACAGTCACACAGCACGAGGACACAGATGTGGTTGCCAGGACTGCCAACAAGAGGGCTGGTGACCACAAAAGGTGCACCCTCAGAACAGTGGACAAAGCCTAACTGAGCACATGAAGAAAACAGGAGGTGAAATCTGATAGTGACAGGAACCGCACTTTCGAGTTCTACTGCAAAGGAGCAAAGAAACGGTGCTGGGGCTGACAGGAGTGTGCAGTCACAAGAGATTTCTCTTTAGGTA